TAGGATGAAATGACCAACTCTTTATTTTATTTTCTACTTTTTCTTAAAATTTAAAATGTGCCAATTTCTTTGAGGTACACCTTCTTAATGGTTTTCCACAATCTGGAGTTGGTTTTCTTCCATTTAAACTATCAAACAAATTTTCTATGTCTTCCAAAACTTCTGCAGTATCAATTGCAGATGCTGCATTGTATAACTTAGAACTTTAGCGGTAACTGGCACTTTCATTTTCAAACGGCTATTCCGGCTTACATTAAAATATTCTTCTCTAATCTTATAAAGAGTTTTAAATGTTTTTGACCGATCTATATGATAAGCTTGCTTAATGAAAACTTAATTTGCAATTTTATTCCTGTCGTAATGAATGTGATAATTGAAAAGAGCATTTCTAGTGCACTTAAGTAAATAACAAGTATCAAAAAGAGTTATTTTCTGTCCATTTAGAAAGAAATGTGGCTCTAGACAAGAATATTTAGCTTTACCCTTCGATGCTTTACCCGGGTCAGACATGTTTTGATATTGTTACAAATATATTAAAAAAAGAATTGAAAATAGATGCAAAATGAAATTACCTATATGTCGTTAAGGCTAAGAAAACAATGATAAACAAAGTCCTTAAACAAATCTAACACCTAATATTAAATTAAATTGTTAATACTAATTACATCAAATCGTCACTTATAAATGTTCTAAACCTAAAAATAACTAACCTACCTATGGAACTTACATCATAAAATAACTTTTATTTATTTATATTATTGTAATTTGCCCATTTTGCCTTCTGCCTGCCATTCCGTTTTCATTTATACAAGGTTGTCAAACCTATCTTTAAAATATCCCATCGATAGTATGCAATACTATGCCATTGTATGGATGGTATCGAGCTTGACAAAAAACAAAATAAGGTATTTGAAATAATTCTAATCTCATGAAAGTTTATGGAAACTGTCTCCAAATAGTATGCTGAGGGACTAAACACTTGTTACCAGTGCCGTGCATTTAAACGATTTATCTTACATATTAATTTATCTATGGAGCGCCTCCCTATGAGGCGTAAAGAGATCATAAAGCATATCTGACTCCTTACAGTGAGCGCGTGGGTATTTGTTTTTTTTTCGTGCAAATTAGGTGGCAACGTCTCAAAATTAACAACTGCAAGTCTAATGTATTAAGATCAAAGTGTTCACCTCGAAAATCCAGAACGAATCGGGCTCGGCTTTTCTTTTGTCAGTAGCCTATTTTTGTAACTTTCTTTAGTGCAACCAATTGGGCGCGCCTCCATAGGGGTAGTAAAGAGATCATAAGGGGGGCCCCAATGTATTTGGACGTTCTGAAGAAAACTCTATTTCAACTTTTAAATTCACTCTTTATTATTAATATTTTTTTTTTATTTGGTGTCATCGGCACCGACTACTAAGGTCATTAGCCTCGTGTTATGTGTAGGCTTTGTTATTGTTTCCCAGCGCCACTTTAGGAACAGCCAGGGCCGCTGAGAGCCAGGTCGGGCCCCAGGACAATTGTCTAGATCGGGCCCCGTGAAACAAAAAAGTGTTCTCCCTACTTCAATTACTTCTTCTAAAAAAAAAAAAAGTTCTTACATCAAAATTCTACCTACCTCTCAATTGCTTCTTCTTCTAAAAAAAAAAAACAAGGTCAGCCGAAACTTAACTTCCCACTGTCATCTTGTGTCGTATTTCTCATGCAGAACACAAAATGCTGTTGTCGGGCCCCCTTACAGCGCTATCGGGCCCCCATTTAAGCCCGGGCCCCGGGAATTAGTCCCGGCTACCCCCCCCCCCTCTAGTTGGCCCTGGGAACAGCACTGTTAATTAGAACCCAACAGTGAATGGTCGAGTGGAGAATCCTACCAAGGCATCAGAATTAATTTTAATTAAATTAAATAAAAAAATCCCGGCCAACGGTGGGATTCGAACCTGGGACCCTTGGATCCACAGGCAGAGACTCTACCACTGAGCCACCCACCCCTTATTATTATTATTTTTTTTTGTGTCATCGGCATCGACTACTACGGCCATTAGCCTCGTATTTTGTGTAGGCTTTGTTACTGTTTCCCAGCGCCACTTTAGAAACAGCACTGTTAATTAGAACCCAACAGTGAATGGTCGAGTGGGGAATTCTACCTATGCATTAGAATTAATATTTAATTTTTTTTTAATTAAATAAAAATCCCTGATACCAGTGGGATTCGATCCTGAGACCTTCCGATCTCAAAGTCATAATAATAATATAATAATAATAATAATCTTTATTCAGCATTTTTGTTTTTTTGATTACATCATATTTGTAGGTACATTTAAATAATTTTAAATTATTAGAGTAATTGACAGGTACCTTATACATTAAAAGTATTTGCTGCTCATTTATGACCATGTGGTTGCGCATGGGCTGCCGAATTACTAACTTTTTTTTTGAAATCATTTTTTTTTTTTACATACATTATTATAGCTTGACTTGTATAAGTTCATAAAATCTAATTAAATTAATTAAATAATACGTATTAAATTATAAACTGAATAATAACAATATAAAATTAGCTAAAAAACGCATCATTTAAAATACAAAATACATATGAAATATAAATAATAAAGAAATACAAAATAAAAATATCACGTAAAAAGTATACAATTACAACTAAATTATAATATATAAGTTCGAATACTTGTATATTTAATCAATTATTTCTCTTTGCGTTTTTCTATCCGAATTAATAAGAAATTTTTTGATGAGAGATTTAAAGAGTTCAACGGAATTTATGATTTGTAAATATGCCTTGTACATATCCGGAAGATAATTAAATATTTTTGCACTTAAATAAATATAAAAACGTTGTGCTATTGTTTTATTTACAAGATGGGTACCAACTTTTCCTTTATCCTTGCTTCTTGTATCATAGTTATGGGTAATTTTGTTTAATAATTGTGACTCTAACCACTGAGCCAACCTACCCCCTTATTATTATTATTAATAAAAATATGACAAATCGAAATTCTATTTAATGTATAGCTCATCGAAACTTTTGAAGTTCAGACATAGTGTGACAAGTCTCCTGATTCACCTACAGTGCTTCAGCGAGTCTGTGGCGCTATGAATGTAATTCCCGAATAGGGGTTGCTCAGGCGCCAGTTTTGATATCGCAGTTTGCTCTGCGGCCCTGGGGTGCACGTAGAGTACACCCTCAGTAGACTCAGTGGAGTCCAGGTACAAATAAAAAAAATAAAACGGATAGACCTTCGCTGTTAAGTTGACCTACACTGGGGTAGTAAAGTAAATAAAGTTTTTCACTACACTTTTACCTATTAATCACTACGCCCTGAAAACGGAAAAAGCAAAGGCGTAATTCAAAATTAAACTCAGGAATTTCAATCAAAAATATATTTACAAAATAAATGAAATAAATAATAATTAAAAATAAAATACACGGGGTGAAATCGGTATATATTTATCTGTTTAATAACGGTAATAAAATAAATGTAGAATTATGTATGTTGATAAAATAAAAGGTCTCGGTATTTACAGAAAATGATAAAACGGTAAAATTAACTATGACCTATACTATACCCATAAGAAAATAAAAATAACAATTTTTCCTTTAAAAAAATTAAAACGGTGGGCACTAACACCCTTAGCACAAATTCTTTGCTATTAATGAAAACGGCCGGCTTTTAGCCATAAGAAAAAATCTACAATAATAAAACTAAATATGATTCAAACTATACGTTTAAAAAATAAAAAAAATAATAAGCTACTCTCAGTAATAAAAAAAAATATCGGTAATCGGCCAATGGTGGTGAACAGTATCACCCTCCACTCATGAGAGAAAAAAAAAATGACGGATGCCTTTGTAAAAACGACGCCTAATATCCTCCCCGCAATATTATTTTACTAGGCACAATAGACCACCAAATAACGGGTGTCTTAACGCGGTATTATTCGACCAATACTTTGAGAATTTTTATTTTATTTATTCGGTTTCAAGTTTCTCTTATGTGGAGATCTGGGAATCCATAGCTTCCACAGAACAGAAACGGCTGCGACTCTCGACAGGGATAGCAAGCGAATACCACTATCATCCCTTGGTTAACACGAAAATGGTTGAAGGGCACTAACGCCCCGGATTTAAATACAATTCGTTACCCTGACAGGCACTAAGAAATCAAAAATATCGGTCGAATAGCTCATGTAATTAATAGTACGGAAGTGAATGTTACAGGGAGAATTATTAGACGGAATTTTAAATAAAAAGGCCTACCTTAATTAACTTTTCAGCAAAATCGCTTTGCGGTATAATCGGCACTACAGCAAGGCAACTTTTATTCTTCAACTCACGGTAACAGCAGGAAAAAAGAGGTCTCCTACATCGCAAACATCTAGTTTTATCAGAATTCGTACTTTTGCCGGAGTGGGGCGGTAGCCCCACCTAGAGGAAATAAATTGTTATTGCAAAAAAAACGTTAATTGATCAGCTTACTGATAAAATCTACTACTATTGCAATTTTACGAGACGATTTACATTAATGTGATATTGAAAAGTTTTAAACTACGAGGGCTCTTGTAAAGATTTAAAAACGGTAATTCTATGGAAACATTAGTCTTGAAAATGTTCATAGACGGAAATTAATTTTAGAAATTAATTTATGGAATAAATTAATGGGAATTTTAGTGACTTCGTCACAATAGATAGCTTTAACACAATTTTAATATTTAATTTGTATTTAGAAATACGTAATTATTTTTAGGAATAAATACCAGTTTTCATTTATTTGATTATCCTTGTTATTGTGAAATGTTTTTTTTTTATTGTAATAATGAAAAAATTATAAGGGAGGCATCAATATGTTTCTATAACGCAAAAAAGGTTGGGAACCCCTGCTCTAGTGTATCATCTCTATTGACGGGATCTATTACATTCAATTCATTATTAAATGGTTGTGACATTGTTGCGACTGGTATTCAGAAATTTATTTGTCTTTATTTTTCAGAACGACAAAGTGAACGGAGAATGGCGCGACCGCGATTGCACGAAAGAAAGCCAGCGATCCGTCCAGTATACGAGTTTCGAGCTCGACCACCTTCATCCGGACACCGTCTACAAGATCGAGTTGCGCGCGCACAACACCATCGGCGACAGCTGGCCGGCGACGTTGCGAGTCAAGACCGCCAGAGGTGAGAACAAAGAATATTACAGCTATAATACTTATCTTGGTTTAGGATCGATCGCGGCGAATTTTAAGAGTTCTGTTTTTGTTTTGATTATGTTTTCTTCAGTTTCTTTTGTTTATAGTTGTATAATCGGTAATTAGAGTCGAATATGATAAAAAAAAACATGTTATACTGTATATATTTGTTGGTTATGAACGTCTGAAGGGATAAACAACCATTTTTTGGTCAAAAAACTACGTACAGAACGTTTTTTTTTGCAATTTTCTTATTTTTTCTTTTAAATCAATAATCAGATGAAAAAATGTCAAAGTGGTTAATCCCAACCTTATATCTTATCATCACTCTTGTTTAATCTAAACCAATCTAATCTAATTCCACTTCATTGGAAGCTCATAACCAAGAAACTCAAAAATATATTATTTCTTAAAAAAAAATTCATTTCACTCTACTGTATTAAAATTCGACAAACACGATATTAAATATAGTCTCAGTTGATTAGTTTTTACCAAAATAGTTTTTATACATTTTTGCGATTAATTTGTTTTTTTTTTATTTTGGTAACTATAAACCTCCTCAAGTTATCCCATTTTCATCACCCACTTAATAAAAAGGTTTTGATCCTATTTTAAATCATTTTGTAGTACTGTAAAATTTCTATAACGGTAATAAAATTATTTGATTTTTAAATGTGGAAATGGGATATTGCTCAAATGCTGCAACTTCAGATCGGTCGTCAATTTACGTAATCTTCTTTATTGAATGTCTTCAGATTAGAACGGGAGCGTAGATGGACCACAAAATATATTTTGTTATATTGTCGACTTGGAACTCAAAAAAATTTAATTTTGTGACTTGTAACTCACAATAATAGATTATTCAGAAAATTCAATTTTTCCGACTTAGAACTGGGGAAAATGATTTTTTTTACTTATAATACCGAATAATAAATTATTCCGACTTAAAACTCAAAAAAATCAATTATCCTGACTTCTAATTTCGAAAAATGTCTTGGTGTACAGTTGTTGTATTTTTACAATACGGTTGATATATTATTATAAATTCTCTAAGATTATCTTAAAAGTATGAAGTTTTTTTAATGAACACCTGAACTTTATTTCATGTTTGGATCATAGCGGCTAAATAAAAAGAATTCCTATACATTCCTATGAAAATAGTTGATTTTATTATTCAATATAAGTCTCAAGTCTATACAAGGACAAAAAGTTGCGTTTTCGGACGACTACTAATAAAATTAAATCTGAAATGTTATTATTTGTAATAATTTTTCATTAACTGAGTTGGCTATAAGAACAATTGAACAATTTCTGTCGTGTCACTGTACTCATGTCAAATTAATTTAATTACCTAGTTTATTAAAAATTGGTGTCAAAAAAAAATTACAAAAATGAGTAGTAACGAAGAATTCTCAACGGGTACGCCCCCAGAAATTAGAGACGCGGCAAATTTGGCGTCTTTTAATTTGATTCCAAAAAAAAATCAAAAATGGTATATGAAAGAACCTACCTCAGATTTGAGAAGTCTAATTGGTATGCAACACTTTATACGCTTAACTTTAGAGGCCATGGGTAAAGGAGCAACAAGAGTTCTAGCACAATCCTTATGTAAATTTAAAAGGTTCATTCTGCCAATTTTTGTCCACATCAAGGTCACTTGTCATGACGTCACGTGCCATGACGTCATCAGTCAATTGTTGCTAACCTGACATAACCTAACCGGAACTGATCCTGAACTGATCTGGAACTGATCCGAAACTGATCCGGAACTAATCCGGAACAGTACCGGATCAGTTCGGGATCAGTTCCAGAACAGTACCGGATCAGTTCGGGATCAGTTCCGGGCCAGTTCCAGATCAGTTCGGGATCAGTTTCGGATCAGTTCTGGTTAGGTTGGGTCAGATTGGCAACAGTTGGCTGGTGACGTCATAACACGTGACGTCATAACGAGTGACCTTGATATGGACAAAAATTGGCAGAATGAACCTTAGCGATTTCCAATGTTAATTTACATAAGGATTGTGCTAGAACTCTTGTTGCTCCTTTACTGCCATGGCCGATAAAGTACTGTATGAAGTATATATGTTACGGTCAAAGACGTTAACTGGGAAAAGACGTTAACTGCCGGCCATTGATGTCATTTTCACGTTTCATCTCCATTGACGTCATTAGCCGGCCAATGATGAGAATTCCCTTTTAACGTGGCCAATGTATGAGTGTATCATTTTTAATATGAATAATTACATCTTTGAACGGCCATTGTCGTGAATGATCAGTTTTATTTGGACATTGTTGTTAATGATCACTAGGTTTAATTGAGCTTCTTCGAAAATGTGGTTTAACATAAAAATAGTTAGTTAATTATACTGGAGACACAAAAAACACTATTTTGAAAAAAACATTTATTATTATAAAATATAATAGGTATTACCTACGTATTGAAAAACGGAAACTTTCTTTATTTTAGCTTACAAAAAGAAAATTGGTAAAATTAATAAATTTGATTTGTTTCATATAAAAATAAGAAATTTATTCGTGCTTGTTTGTGAAATTGAGGTTTCCATGACACTTTTGCGTGGCAGCTGCAATTATTTGATTTACAGCTGTTTTGCAATGACATTTTTTATATCCTTGTGCTCCCAAAATGTTTCTAGTTCCCGCTGCTTCTCTCAAGCTTATTTCTTTGTCTCCTAAAACATCGTCAGATTCCAGCAAATTTTCTCCACAGGGATTAAATTCGGATCTCGTAAATTTTTGTTTCAAAATACCAGAATTTCTCCCTAAAATAAAATAGAAGACGTTTTTAACTGTCATATTTCGTACCTATCTCTTTTATCCATTTTATTGCAAAAAAATTGTATTATTTTCTTACCAAGCGTGTAAAATCCTTCATTCTTATTTGTCACCACTGCTAACACATTGCGAGGAGCACACATTGCCCTGTCAACATCAGGTATAGGAACGCGTACAGTTCTACCTACGTCCACTTCAGAAAACTTCTCGTTTGATAGTTTCATCATTTTCTTTGCTTGTTTTTCTAAACATTCTTTTGATCTCTTCCGTTCAAGGAAAATTTTCGACTTCATGGTACAATTAACGCATGCTTCATTGGAATTACAACCTTGCTCAGAAGGAAATAATGTAAAGCACTCTGAACATACATTATAGATCGATATAGCTTCTAAAAATAATCGATAATAATACACATTCTTTTACCTGTATTAACATCAGTTATGGCGGATTGACTTAGATTGGGTTGATTTTCGAATTCTGTATTATTATCAATTATAGCGGATTGACTTAGATTGAATCGATTTTCGAATTCTGTATTATTATCAGTTATAGCGGATTGTAGATTAGGTTGATTTTCGAATTCAACATTAAGTATTGCCAAAGTATGTTGTTCTTCTGTTCGACAAAATTCATTTTGTTTATTTAGTAATTCCTCAAAATCTTCTTCTGAAGTTAAATTGGCTGTCTCATTTTGTGGTAAACTTGTTGATGCCAATCCAACTCTAGCGGGACATCCGAACATGGCTTCATAAGGCGATCTACCAATTCCTACCAACAAGTCAATTTTTTTATTTTAAAATAAATATTTTTATTGTTACTTACCACTGTGAAAAGCGCGGTTCTTCTCGAATTGAATATATTTAAGAGCTTTGGGCCAATCTAAAGATTGATTGTCGGCCATCCAAGCGGCAAGCATTTCTTCTACATTTCTGTTTGCTCTTTCTACAGAACCTTGACTCTGGCTATGACGAGGTTTGCCATGAACGATTCTTACATCTCTCCACTCTTTATGTAATTCAATTATTACTGAATTCACAAATTCGCGTCCGTTGTCCGAGTGGAGTATTATAGGAGCCTCAAACGTGGTATAAATCTCCAACAAGTGACTTGCAACTTCAATGGCCCTTTTGGATTTCAGTGCTTTAAGTAATGTGAACTTTGTAAGGTGATCTTGATAAACGAAAATGAATCGGTAGTCATTATATGCTTGTGTCTGCATGTCAATTAAATCCATTTGAGCTCTAGAATTAAAATTAGAGTGCAAAATAAGTTTAGAAACTAATCCTTTCTTGGGAGTAGCCGATTTTTGTTTGACACTGAATGCAAAGTTTTAAAAATACCATTATAATTTCTTTTGTCACATTACAGGATTTGTTTTTCAACTCGGCAACCATCCTGTTTCGCCCTCCATGGCCTATTTCAGCATGAGTCGATTGTAAAATATCATATAGCTCCTCATTTGTCACGTAATATGATATTTTATTAGTGTTTTCATCTACCGGCCGTATCAAACGATCTTTGCCATTTAATGTTAAAATGTCGTATCTATTTACTAGTCTATAATAAGTTTGTGTTTTTTTTTGTTAAAGGCGTTTGAAGTAATAGTTTGGCCGCCTTTACTTCTTGAATTTTGGATTCATATTCATTTTGACTTAGAAAAAGTTTATTGTCATCCCTTTTACTATTAAGTAATATAGTTAATGCCTGCTCAAATCGATCCCTCGTTAGTTCCATTGTTGATAAATAGCACAAATAAAAAAAAGCACTTAAAACACGAATTGGCGCGCACTTTGTTTACTGCACCTGCTCTCAAACTAAAGTAAACTAAATTCTAACCTAAGTTTTCAGCATTGGCCGATTGTTTGTATACATTGACGACAATGGCCGGACAAAGACGGCATTATCATGAATGGCCAAATTAAATGAGTATTGACGTGAAAGCCCGGCCAATGATGTGAATGAACAACTTGCATAGGCTGTGACGTCTTTGGCCGGTCATTGACGTCATTTCTTGGATTCACGACTCTGACCGTAACATATACAAAAGTTCTACTTTTCGACTTTGTTTTCTGTCCGAAAAACGACGTTTTTTGACACATTCGAATAAAAAATATTTTGTGGCCCTTTTATGCTTCTATAGATTAGCAATATTTTAAATCAACTTCTAACTTCAGACCTATTAGAGAATCACTTATT